TGATATTTGAGTACCGTGCGCTCATAGTATGGGAACCAAATTTTTTATGTACTTTGATGCAACTTTAAGCGACGTCTGTGCGTGTGTGTGTGCCAAATTTGATATGTAACTGTGATCATTAAATAATTACTTTCAAATTGTTCCGCGTAAAATGTGTTTTGATACTTTTTTTATTAAATTTTGTTTTGTTAAATGAAATAAACGCGATAAAAATTTCGATTACTTTCGGAAATAATAAAAGATAATATCAATTATATTTTTAATTATAGGAAAAATAATATATATCATATTCTTAGTCAGATGATTTATACGCGAATATTGAATTTGTTTAATAGATAAAAGAAAGGAATAACATGGTAACCTTTTTAACAGTATCAACTTAAAGATAATATGTATACCGTAATAAACTAGAAATAGATACGCTTTTACTTTCGTAGGAAAACTTCATTTCCGTAGAAAAAGTCTTTATCGTTTGTTTGTATTCCTTTTTAACCGTTGAGAAGGGCTCCGTAGAAAAGGGTACTGACTTGGTGGTAGTTGTATGCCACGTGCGGAATGAATCGGAATTTTGTCAATGTGTGTATATGTCTTACCGTGTATAAGTGTGTATAACAGATGGGCATATATATGCAATATATGCAAACGCTTATCGATGCACCGCCATGAAATGCCTGCTTAAACGGTAGACTCGAAAAGGGAATCGGATGGGGTGAGGGGGGGGGTGTTGCAGGAGGAATAATAATACCATGAGAACTATCCCACGCATCATGCCCGTTGTAGATGTTAAGAGGCTTATTGGACGTTTTCCAGTTCGAGGCCCATTCGTAAACCAGTCAGTCTGCTCCGATTTTCTATCCACTCTTCTTCTCTCCCGTATGTTCTCTTTTCCAATAGAATTAAAGATTTTCCCATTTCCGAATGGTAATATAGTTCATGGTTACGACTCGTCGCTTCTGTTTTTTTTTTTTTTTTCTATTCCTTCCATAATTTGTTTTCATTTCAAAAGAAAGACTCAACGTTACACATTGAAATTCTCGTTTTATAACGTTTTTAAATTTACTACAACAACAATAAAAAAAGTAAGGTAAAGTAAAAGACGGTAAGAAGGGGTTGGGTAGGGTAGGGTAGGGTAATAGAGAATGAAAAGATAAAGTTTCGAATGAATGTAATCTTTTGATTTCAAACTAAAACAATGTCATTTAAATAAAAAAAAAAAGAAAAAAAATGAGTTGCAAATTTGTTAAACGTATTCCGTACAGTTAATAATAAGTGTGTGTATAAATATTTCATAATGTATTTTAATTCAACGCACGTCGTTATCAAAGAAGTAGACGCGCGTATCCGCGTAAATTGGTTTCCGAGTGAGAAAGAGATAGAAATAGAAAGAGAGGGTGAGTTTTTGGGTCTTGAAAAAAAGAAGCTGACAGGGGGATTTTTCTCTCCCTTTGTACGGTGTTGCGGGATTGGCGCCAGGGCTTTAGAGTGTACACGAAGTGCAGTTCTCCACACGAACGAAGTACCTGTCGCTGGTACCCGGTACTACTACTAGCTGCTGTTTGCTGCTATTGCTGCTGTTACTGAGGCCGTTGCCGTTGAAAACTCGAGGAACCTGGAGGAAGGGTCGTGAAGGAGATCAGAGGAGAGGGTTCTTTCCAACCCTCATTCGCCCTTTGCACTCTCTCTCGTTCACGAACCGTTTCCAACGGCTTTCCCTTTCTACATTTCTGCAGGAAGTTACCTCCATTCGAAAAGTCCCAAGCCACGTTGCTTTAATAAAGTCTCTACCATGGCTATAGGGGATTACAAATTTTTTCTTTTCTTTTTTTTTTTTTTGTTGTTTTCTTTCTCTTTCTCTTCGTTTCCGTCGATTTAAAACACATTCCTATTTTTCTGCTTAATATTTATCCCAACTTCCTTTTTTTTTTTTTTTTTCTCTTTCTTCTATCAAATAAAAGACAAATGATGT